TGTTGGTACCCCACAACACCTCGGGGGAAATAGACGTATACTAGTGCCCTCATGGCCATGCAATATGTGCTTAATAGTACATGTATTACGAAATGTTTTGGAACCAACGTTGTGATAATCTTGTTACCACTCCCATGTAAATAAGTTCTGAAACAGAAAAAAGAACAAAATGGTCCAAGCGAAATATAACCAGCTGTAAATTGTAACTCTCTTTATAATCGGTTGTTGGGTGGGTTGCACGGCATGAATTCTTACTAGTTCGACCGTGAGATCGGACCGATCGATTGATTGATTGATTGATTCATTGATTGATGGGAATTAATTAGAAATGACAAATGATATGCGTTCATGTAAATTTATTTGAGTAATTAAGATGAATACAGTAGTAGGTACTCTGAGAATATGCTACGGTAAGCTACTGTCAATACGGTCTACACATAAATATTTACTATAAAAATTGTCGAAAGAGATTTGTTACAGATTATAAATATAGAATCATAGTTGAGGTCGTTTTCTTAATATTTTGTTGCCAGTTTCTTTTTCAACAAGGTTTTCAAGATGTCGCTGCGTCGTTGCGGTGGTGGTGGGCCTGATGGTGGGGAGTCCGTTCCAAACAGGTAGTTGTAACCAAAGTAGGGATCGATATAGTCGTTAACATCCCAGTCATTGAACATGTCTTCTAGGAGATTATCGGGCATAGCTTCGAAATAGAATGGGAAGAAGTAGTCAAGGTAAATTTCCCCAATCATGTGGAATACTTCGCATTCATCGGTTGGTTCTTTGAAATCGTCTTCGGGGTCCAAGCTGTTGACATGTTGAAATGCTGTCAACCAGTCAATAGTGCCGTCGGCATCCTTTTCAAGTGTACTATAGCACTGCGTATCCTCCAGATCATCCCAGAAAACGGACCATACGTAGAAATCAAAGTGTAGACGGATGCAAGAATCGGAGCACTGTCTCCGTCCACCATTCAATAAACGCTAAGACGTGTACGTGGATATCTGGTCAGTGGTCTGTGACCAATCAATGGCTTCCCAGTCTACGTTAGAAAGAATATCTTCGAATGCAATCATGCCGACTGTACAGGGGGCCATTGAGAAAGCCGTGACAACGCCAATTACGAAATCTGCAGCGAAGAATACTTCTTCATACGATTTCTTGGTCGATTTGCCTTTTGAGAATGGTGTTGCAATGCCTCGTTTGTTGGCACCATCCAGGACAGCCCCCAGTGCTTCCTGCCCTTTTGAGAGTGCCTCAGCGGCAGCAACAGCGCCATCGTCTCCAGACCTCAGATTGAATTTGCTTGTCTCAATAGCCTCTTTCTTGTTTATAGAATCACGGACAGCTTTGACCTATAAGAATGAATTATTGGAAATCAGTTGAAATTTTCTTCAAAAAAATGCTCAATAAATTGCTATGACAACTCATAAATACGAAAATACAACATTGGCGACTCTATATACTAGCGTTATGAAATGACGTCATCACTAAAGCGACCTGATTCCAATGTAAAAGTAAAAAAAAAAATATCTACCGAGTAAAAAAATTCTCCAAATAACTATTTTCAGATATCTGGAGGGTAATTCTGTTTATAACTGATTCTAATTTTCTCGCATATGACCCATTGACACGCAGATCGTAGCCGTAGACTTTCAATTTTTCGACATTGTGATTTAGACGAGAAAATACAATTAAAGGGCGGTGGTCGTCGCAAGGCGTCCTGTCCGATATGGGACTCATAGCGACGTATACAACGCGCCTAACATACATTGCTCTTTAAATGAAATTCGAACACGCACTGTGCGACGACTACCGCCCACAAATTAATAAAACAAAAGTGAAATTAATGATGCCGTTAGTCGGTAGTGGCGCTATAGCTGTGTAGTTACCAGGCATTTATTATCTGCGGCAGACAGCTTCAACCGAATTATACGGAACATTGGTATATCGAACAAGTGTGCAATTATAGACGGATTAAGCAAGTTGACGTCTCCATGATTTGGGATTTAATCTAGTGTACATGTCAAAGAGGGAGATGTAAGGGGGGGGGTAGGAAAACGAATCTACTAAACGTTTTAAGTTTTGGCAGTCAAGCGTGTAACGCCGAACTGTAGTTGCACTGCGTTTGCGTGCAAATAAGTACGTTGATGGGACACAAATACAATGTTACTTTATGATTTGGGCGTAGGCTAATGCTCGACTTTGGGGTTGTCTAATGCTCGATTTGGGACTAGGCTAATTGTTGATTTAGGTGTAACCTAATTGTTGATTTGGAGGTAGGTTGCTCGACCATCGCGTGAACTGAACGTGTATATTAATGACTAACCAGACCGTAGGAAAAGTTGTCCAATAAATTGCCACGTAATTGTTTTTTACCGAGTAGATAAAACGGAATGCATTTTTGAGATAGTTTAAAATCATAACATATGAACCCACCTTGGATGAGAAGGCGCTTTTCTTCAGTGTTTTGGACTCTGTAACCAGGACCACGCAGGTCAGAACAAAAGCTAGCAGGAGAATTCGAGCCATCTTTCCGTTTTGTAGGTGGACTTAGTAGTTGAAGACGCTGCCCAACTGATTTAAATCCAGAAAGTTGAAAACTTTATAGCACAACCTTGAGCGCGGTCGATTCCAAAATTATTATGTCGAGGGGTGTAGGTTTTTATGTAACAGAGGTGACCCGTCTAGGATTGCTTCACGCGAAGAGCAGCAGCAGGAATAAATTGTATGATTGTGAATTTAAAAAAAATCACGTACGTAGTACAAGATTTATATAATTCCATACACACAAGTTGTAGTTTCATTTATTGTTCTTTCAAAACAGCCTGTTGATTAAATGAAACCTTCCATTCTTGACGTCACGAGCTAAGGAAACACTCACTGAATGTAAAATAAAAGGAGCGTGAGTGTGAATCATTACAAACTACATTGTGTGTATGTGAGACCCAGATATGTGGAGAATTGTCATGGCAACTACCCATGGTCACCCAGTGTTGGCCACACTATCGAGGTTTCAGACCAGAAGACAATGTATAGAAGAGAATTAATAGAAAAGTCCAATCAAATGAACAATGAAGTACTTCTTGTTTTATATACATTGTCCCCAAAGACAAGAAACACAAACAAAAATGTTAGACATTTAGAACAAATGTAATAGTCGTTTTAGCCTGACGAGCACGTAGGAACGAGGTCACGGTGTCTCGGACAATGACACTTCTTCGGTAGCATAAGAAAATATTTATTTATTTATCAGAATATACGGCGGTGATTGTGATGGGGTTGAAGGTGCCATTTGCGTGTTAATAAAACATAATCAGCACCATGACTATAATGTTTCATTAATTGTTAAAGCGGGGGAGTCGTCAACTGCGCATGCGTCAGTTGGCCAAATCGTGTCATTATTTACAAACAAACGCCTACCCATGATCCTTTGCGTTTTTAGCGTGTGTTGTTATCGTCGCTTGGGACTCAATTACCGCGCGTGTGCAGGTGACGACCCTCCCGCTTTAAACTCATATCACATATCCATGATACTGTGTATGTTTAGGTATGCATTTTTAATTAACAGTGCGTCTCGTTTGCTTCAAAGACATACGCATTTGCATAGTAGAATATTTAAATCAGCGAATACTAATTTTTAGGATAAGGTTTGTAACCACTCAGGTGACGCACAATAAGCACATGACATATGACAGGACAATTCTGATGATATGAAAAAAACCGTACAATTTAGCATATCAGAATTAGTTTGTTGTGGCCGTCACGCGGACATTAACATGTGATGTATTTAGCTTCCTACATTTACTCTCATTTTGTATAGCTATGTGTATTGCCTGGTACTTATTATGGTCAATTCATCGCTCTCGGTATTGGAACCCCAGTTTTAAAAGTTGATGTGACCACAGCGATCTTGCATTGTTGTCCAAATAAAGAATCTTTAGTTTCTTTGTTTAAGGCTGTACCGTGTGTTATAAATAGTCTAATGTACAATAATGATATGCTAAGTTATAGTACACATACCCGAGGTGGGTGACATTAAATTGGAACACGAGGTCCATGATTCATTCTCATGCCACTTCCAGTGATTGACCTTAATTCAGTACTGGACTGTCATGGCAACCCAATTTCTGTACGAGAATAAGAAGGCGATTTAATTATAATGTGTTCACTGCGAAAGACCACTTCGTTTCATACAATAAAATAATGTCACGGGTAAGTGTCCCAAGGCCGAGAAGCACATTTTCAGACACGTTTTTATAAAGATTCACATCTTTTCTTTTAAAGTTCACATATATATCAAACGTTGCCCGAGGCTTTTTAAATGCTAGTGAAGAGACGTCTTAAAAAGACCAGTTAGAGTTAAATTCTTATCAGCAATCTCGAAAAAGGCCTTTAAGTATATTTCATCAATAATATATATCAGGCACCACCGTAACCATGGTAATATACTATAATTATCGCGTGGAAGCAACTCTTTAGGATTCCTGGCAAGGTCGCATCCATCTGTATCCTTTTTTTTTTTCAAGCAACTTGATGCTACCCCAAGTCGACAACTCAATGCCACGTATTTGTTATCTAATGTTCCTCTGTTGTTCTTAGATATGTCAGATGGCAATTCACATAGCCCACTTGTTCACACGTAGTATATCTAACTGTGATTCAGTATATTTAAATGTAAGTTTTTTTCCCATACCAAACCATAAAAAACTACTGAAAGGTGCGTGTCACCTTGTCGCAGTGGGATATCGACCATGTATAAATAACTCGAGTACCACAATACAATGAGGTCAAATGTCACGTGGACAATGGAAAGTAAAGTGTAATGCGATGTGCGTGACGTTATATATCAATGACGTCATATGAAAACTTGAGATCACTCGTAGCTTGGTGACATTACAAAATGCAAAACAAAAACCGGCTGACCAAACCTTGGTCCAGTGAACAGAACAGAATGATGTCTTTAAAGAGACGAGTTCTGGCTTAATAAACGCGGACATGTGGTGACATTAGAAAACTCGTGGTCAATAGGTCTCGAGTTCAGTTTCTGTATAGGGGTGTAACAGGTGGTCATCGCGTTTAATTACTAGTATAACCTAATTTCAACGAAGTAAAAATAACAACAAATCGAACTTTAACTTAAATTTAATTAATTTAGACTTCACCTTGGGATTCTAAAGACATTTGGTAGGTATGCGGTATACCAACCTACCACTTCTTCTAACCCCAAGCTACGCAACTGGAATGAATTAAGTTCAAATCGAATTTAAAACAAATTGAAAATGGCTTTTACGGTTAAATTAAATGTAATTACATCAGAATTAATAATCTACATCCACACGGTGGACACACATTTCCAGACCAAAACCACTAGTTAAGATTGTTTGATTGATTGAGAGATTGGAGGCTTCATTTGCAACTCCAATTCATGTTACAATTTAATTACTACAGATTATTTTGAGACTTATTTGTATATATATCTCCGGTTCCACGTCGACAGTAGTGCTTGAATTCGCCGATTTAATTGGTTTGGGGATCAATTAATTCGGAAATGATATCATCATAAAAAAACATAATATTACAGTAACTGACCATTGTGGGAGGGCGTACGTTTTCATTATTGTTGGTGTCATAGTTTGTCAAATCATTGTTTGGGACATTTAAACTAACACAACACAATGCAATTTCTTCGTACTGTATGTACATTATTTATAAACACAATCTACCCATTAGCAGGAGAATAAGCAATATTGCAACGACGAGGGCTGACAAAACAAGATTTCAAAAACTACAACACACAGCTAGCAAAAAGCGAAGTGAGGGCTCTCATGGGGCGAACTGAGGGCTCTCATGGGTCACAGCCGGTCGTTTACTCCAGAGTTCGACAAATTCCATTAGTTCCTTAAAAGTGCATGTCCGCTGTCTTGAATAGTGTCACAAAGCCCACAGGACATTGTTAAGAACACGTTACCTACGGCGTGAAACGGTTCAGTAGAGACTAAGGCGTCGAGTGAGAAAAAAAGGTTTTCTATAGGTACAGGCTAATAAAAACCTTGTCCAGGTCACAAACCTCGCTGGACTGGCCTCAATAGGAATGTATACACTGCACACATTCGATTTCAACGAAGTTGCACTGCAATAAAAGTACACAAAGCTGTGCGACGGGACCAAACTGACAAAAGATCTTAATGTCTTATCGGAACCATCTTGTAGCGTGATCTCTATTGAATCACCTTTTTAATGAACTGTCTGATGTTATGAGTTACTGTCGCTCACATTCAAGACAGACCGTGTACTGTGATATTTTTATAGTAGTGTTGTATGCACGTTGTACCAGGCTTCGTTGAAGTCTTTAGTACTTTAATGGGTAAAAGCTGCCCGGGTCGATACATGTGATATGCCATACTTGGTAATCGTTGCCCCATCAGTAATGTGTGACAAGGTAGTGATGGAACGTAAAAACGTAAGAACACGAATAACAACTCCAAAATAAAATCAATAAAGTATTCTATAATTATAGGTTTTAAGTTGGACATGAAGCATATGACATTGGTTCACTGGTTTCTTATGTAGCAGAGGCGGTGGCACGAAATTTTGCATAGGGGAGGGGGTCTGCTCACAATTCCTCGGGCCTTCGGCGCGACCTTACTAGGGAGTCCGGGGCATGCTTTCAAAATTCAGGATAACAAAAAGTACTCCATCAATGACAATATAAATGCTTGTTACCCGATGTTACCAGCATATTTTTTTTATATACGCACAATATCTCCTCCACCATATCTAAAAGCGTTCGAATTCCAACAAAATGGACCCAGTAACTTGAAGTGAAACAGAACAATAATTTCCGCATGAAATATGCCTCAAGCTTTTCATAAATCAATATCCTTGCATTGAGCGGGGCAACACTTCATTAAAAACGGATAAATTCTGGGTGTTTTAATCCATAAGTAGGCTTCGACCAAGGTAGAACATATTTTTCTCCTCGACGTGCGTGATTCGATCATCGTTACCATTGAAAATGCATACACCAGAAAATTAAAATGAGAAGTTTTCAGTTTGGTTAAACTTTGCATTAGGACCAACTTCAGTTATGATTGTTCAATTATTTGTTTTGGTTTAGGCCGTATGTGTATTCAGTCCTACACACTGGCTAAGTGATTGACAGCGCGTGTAGCCAATCAGCAACCCCAATATGCCTATGACGTAGTAAATGGCCGCCGATATCTCGTTATGAACGAGAGTGCCACGAGACTTGTTTTTTGACTCTCAAATTGTGTTTTATTCTCACTTGACATCGCGTCGCCTAAACTATGTAACCGTGATATTTGAGAATAAACAAATTTATGCGAACTTTATTTTCCGCGACTTTTCTTCATCTTTCATTCATTATAGTTGTCATGGAGATATGCATGTTGATGCCATCAAATTCACGAAATTGTAGACTTTCTGGTGATGTGAAGATTTGACCAATTTTCAGTGGTTTACTGTTTATTAAACAGTTACTATTAAACGTTTTTTGTTTTTTTGAAAGGCTACAGTTTATTAATTGTTAATATGATGCTATTACTTTTTCAGAAAGGTCAAAACAAGTTCATCGTCGAAATGTACATTCTTCTGTGTAGAACCTAT